GACCGATTCGTGTGCGGGTTAAGGCATCGAGATCTACAACAGAGACTTTTCGCTAAAGAAGAACTGTCCTACCAAGATGCCTTAAGGGAAGTCACCGCAGAAGAAGCAGCAGGCGGCGCTATCAAGAACATGCGGCCGATCAGAAACAGTCCAGAGGTTGCATCCGTGCACCAGGAAGACGCCCAAAGGAACTCCGAGGAGGATCCGGACGAGGAAGTCGACCGTCTCCACCCCACGATGGAAGAAAAACAGAAGGGAAGCTCTTCAGCTCCGCTCAAGTGCATCGGCTGTGGAGGTCGCCACAGGAGAACCGACTGCAAGTTCCGCTCCGCTTCCTGCCGGGCATGCGGCAAGCAAGGACACATTGCAGCTGTGTGTCTGGGCCGACGAAAGGTACAACCTCAGGAAGAACCGCGCCTGAAAGGTACCAGATTCCCCAGCCAGAATAGGGTAGGGTTTTGCGCTTCGCGAAGAAGCATCCTTAGGACAGGCACACACAAGCCAATTAAGAAAAAGCTGTCACTCAAGGTGAAGCTACAAGGGGTTCCATTATCTATGGAACTAGACACAGGGTCTGCCTTTTCAATTATCTCCTTGCATACATTTAGGAAGATTTGTTCCGGTAGTGGAACTCAGGCCAAGTTAAGGCCTTCTGACATTGTGTTAACAGATTTTCAAAATTCAAGAGTGTGTGTTAAGGGGGAGGCCACCCTTAACGTGCAATACAAGAGTTTTGAAGGTCCACTAGACTTATTAGTAGTAGGGAGTGAACGAACGAGTCTCAAAGGACTCGATTGGTTTGAGGCCTGGGGATACACATCACAGGACTCAACAGCTTACAAACACTCGACCTACAGGAAGTCTGCAAAGAATTTGCAGATGTTTTCAGCCCCCAGCTGGGCACATTCAAAGGACCACCTGTGTCCTTAAAGCTAGACCCCACTGTCACTCCCATTAGGATTAAAGCAAGAAGGGTCCCTTTTGCTTTAAAGAGTAAGATTGACACTGAGTTAGACAAACTAATCCAACAGGGAGTTCTAGAACCTGTTGATTCCAGCCCTTGGGAGACCCCCATTGTCACGCCTCTAAAGGCAAATGGGGACATTCGCATTTGTGCTGATTACAAATGCACACTTAATAAGGCATTGCAGCAACATGCCTACCCTGTTCCTGTGGTCAGCCATATCCTGGCCTCCCTCAAGGGGGGGCGTGTTTTTGCAAAGCTTGACCTGGCTCAAGCATATCAACAGCTGCCTGTTGATGATGATGCTGCCATAGCTCAGACTATTGTGACCCACAGGGGAGACTTTAAGGTAAAAAGGCTACAGTTTGGAGTGAATGTCGCTCCTGGGATTTTCCAAAGCGTGATGGAAAACACACTACGAGGTATACCAGGGGTTTGCCCCTACTTTGATGATGTCTTGATTGCAGGAGACTCCACACACATTCTAGCTGAGAGGCTTAGGGCTGTCCTGTTAAGATTCAGGAAATCAGGCCTCAAGCTCAAAAAAGACAAATGCAAGATTGGGGTGCCTTCTACTGAATTTCTGGGGTTCAAAATTGATGCTGCTGGGATTCACCCTGCTGAATCCAAACTAACTGCTATTTTAGAAGCACCCAGGCCAAAGTCCAAGGCCGAACTTCAGGCCTTCCTAGGCCTCCTGAATTTCTACAATTCTTTTCTTCCACATAAAGCTAGTGTAGCTGAGCCTCTTCACAGGCTACTAGACAAACAAGCTGTGTGGCAGTGGTCACAAGCGCATGAGGCTTGCTTTAAAGAAGTCAAGGCCTTGCTCACTTCTAACAGTGTTCTTGCACATTTCAACGAGTCTCTTCCTATGTGCATCGCTTGTGATGCGTCCCCCTACGGGGTTGGAGCTGTCCTGAGTCACCTCAGGTCTGATGGAACTCAGGTTCCTATTGCATACTACTCCAGAACACTGTCTTCTGCCGAGCGCAACTACGCTCAGATAGACAGGGAGGCTCTGGCTGTTGTTGCTGGAATTAAAAAATTCCACGACTTTCTATATGGCAGGCATTTCACGGTCTTCACTGACCATAAACCTCTGCTGGGACTGTTTACCACACGTAAGCAGACTCCCCACATCATTTCCCCTAGAATGCTTAGGTGGTCTATTTTTTTGTCTGCATATGATTTTTCCTTACTCCACAAGCCTGGGAAAGAAATGGGCCATGCTGATGGCCTCAGTAGATTGCCTCTGCCAGTAGTAGAAGCTGACCCTGCGCCAGCTGTCAACATTCTATCAATCCAAGCCTTGCCCAAGCTCCCTCTTAGTGCCAGGGATGTTGCCGCTGAAACAGGTACAGATCACACACTTTCACGTGTCCGTTCCTGGGTTTTGTCCGGTTGGCCTGAGCACTGCCCTAGTCCTGAGTTTCAGAGTTTCTGGTCCAAAAGAAACGAGTTGTCCCTTTCTCAGGGTTGTCTGCTTTGGGGAAACAGAGTTGTCATTCCCTCCTCAATGAGGACTAGGGTCTTAGAATCCCTCCACGAGGGTCATCCTGGCATTGTTCGTATGAAGGCTCTTGCACGCAGCCACTTGTGGTGGCCTGTTTTAGATAAGGATATTGAGGCTAAGGTGCATGCATGCCACCTGTGCCAACGATCTCGCCCAGAGATGCCCCAAGCTCCCGTGCATAAATGGGAGGAAACGCAGTCCCCATGGTCTAGGGTGCACATTGACTACGCTGGGCCCTTTCAGGGCCAGTTCTTCTTGGTCCTTTTTTGACAGCCATTCAAAATGGCTTGAGGTTGTACCTGTCTCTCCACCACCACTGCAAAGACTATTCAGGTACTGAGGGGGATTTTTGCTGCACACGGGCTTCCAGATGTCATCGTGTCTGACAACGGCCCTCAATTCACTTCCTCCGAATTCCAAGCTTTCTTACAGGCTAACATGATTCGTCATGCCACGTCTGCACCCTTCCACCCGTCCACCAACGGTATGGCTGAACGCATGGTGCGCATCACAAAGGACGCCTTGAAAAGACTCACCTATGGGGACTGGCATCACAGGTTGGCTGACTTTCTTATCGCACCACACCGTCCACTTCTACAGGGAGAAGTCCAGCTGAACTTCGCTGGGGGCGTCAACTTACTACTAAACTTGACCGGTTGCATCCGGACAGACTGCCTTCATCTACCTCACATCCTAGGGCACCTAGACAACTACTTGTGGGTGCCCCGGTTTGGGCTCGCAATTACGGGCCTGGTCATACCTGGGTCCCCGCTTCTATTTCCAGGGTCACAGGTCCTCTCTCCTACGAGGTTGCCCTGGACAACGGTCGTGTCCTGCGTCGGCACATCGACCAACTCCGCCCTAGGCGGGACTTTTCAGATGAGACTCCTGGGTCTTTTCCAGGGGGGGAGGGGGACCCTTTGGAGCAAAGGGAAGGGCACGAGCTGCTGCCCATCTCCACTGATGGAGCCACAAACGGCCCATCCCAGGGTTCCGCAATTGCTCCGAAAAGGAATTCATGGAGCTTACCCACACAACAGGCACTCACGCCTACTCCAGCCAGGGAGTCACCCCGGGGGCATACTCACCTTCCACACACATCACACAGCACTCCAGTCACGGAGGATACCCGGGGGCATCCCAACAAATCATTCCCCGCAAGAGAGCTGGCACACAATCCCCAAGGTTGGCCTGACCTTACCCCAAATTCTACAGGGGGTCAAACATACAGGGAGGTGGTCGAGGAACCAAGTCCCGACTACAACACCTCTAGCCCAAATCAGGGAGTAACTGAGTTTTGGGAAAGTACAGGAACCCACACAAGCCCGGACACAGAACGGGGTTCAGGGAATGGTCAGCCTCCTGACAGGTCTTGGACGGACCTAGGAGGTTCAACAGAGACGCCCAGCAGTGGCTATCACTTCAAGGGGCCCGAGGGTCTACAGCTAGGCAGGTCAACCAGGTCACAAAGTGACAGAAGCCCTGGCCTGACGAGCCCGGTGGGCAAGCAAGCAGGCCAGGCATCGGGGCACAGTCCTTGGAAGGCACCAAGGCAAAATAAGGAGAACAGGCTCACATCTCCCTCCAGTCAGGGAACTCATGCTAGTAACCCAGAGCTGAGAAGGTCACAGAGAGCAAAGAAGTCTCCTAAATACTTAGAGGATTACATAACATTGCTGGCTAAACAAAAGCCAGGTAACGATAGGAGCACTGAGAAGCAGAACACTGCATAAAATAAATGTTTATATGTTGGTAGTAGTTTTAGCCCGGGGGAAAGGGGTGTTATGTCCCGAGCCTTGCAAACGGCTCGGGCGTTTGCAGGCAGTCCCGGGCAGGTGCAAAGCTGCCCGGGACCAGACAGGCTGTCGCCAGCGCCGTGCGCATGCGCGGGTGCTGGCGCGGGAAAAGTAACACATTTACCCGGGAAGCGTCTATATAAGAAGCTGGGAGGTTTTGGGAGCTGACTGAAGCCATCTACTTGTAAGCTGAACGCTGAATAAAGGAAACTGAGAACTTCAACTGCTTCTCGTGTCTGCTTCCCGCCAAGGACTCAACAGAAATTAAATATGTATTTTCCACTTGCATCATTAACTATATACATTTCCATTTTAATGTATGTTTCCATTAAAAGAAATACTTTGCTTCATTTCAGAAGCATTGGCCTTTTGCCTTGGCTTTTAACATTTGGAGAAAAATTAACTATCTGCTTATGAGGATGTTTTTCATGATAAGTAGTGACTGAAAGGATGTAAAAGAATATGCCATAAATTTCTTTGATTGTAGTTTGTGAGTCCAACCAAACTGACCCCACTTCAGCAGGGTTAAGCAGGGTTTGCTAATAGCTTCCTTTCTCTGTCAAAAAATCTGCCTATTCATAAAGAAATGTATTGTGAAAGATAATTGATGTTTCTTAAGGTTGTATTCAAATTGTTTAAAATCCATTGGGAAAATGTACATTTTTACAAGACAAAGGAATTTGTTTTTAAAGCAATTTTTCTTGAAACTTAATTGCATGTGGAATTGGAAGCTTATTTCATTAACTGTTTTCATGTATTGAATTCATGTACCACTGAATCATATGAACTTACAGAGGCTTATAGTCAACCACAACTGCAATGATTAAAACATCCATAGCAATGATCAAGGATAAAGCATCTATAATAATAACATAAATTTTAAAAAAACATTTACAATAGCAATAGGAATTCCATGGTGCTTGAAATACCATAATCAGGACATTCTTGAAAAGAATCAATTTATAGTCATGCATTATTTGCATCCATAGTAATAATTTTAAGTGCAGTTGTTGATGTAAATATCAGACAGCCACCAAAGATTTTCTGAAACAAGTCAGTCCAAAGAAACTTCCCAAAGGGCTGCAGAATGGGAAGCCATCTAATAACACAAGGAAGTTTATTTCATAATGTAGGACCCATTTTGAAGAAGGATACCATCTTGGCTTCTGTCTCTTTGACTTTGCAAAAATGCAAGGCAATGAAGAGTCTGTTTCTCCCAATAGGATGATACTGATTGGAGAAGACAGTTCTGAATATACTTTGGTGCCAAGCCACGTAAGGATCAAAACCAGGATTTTGAATTGCACTTGGAAATTGCCTACAAAAGTTCCAGAGAGAATTCCAATTCAAAGCGAAGCTAAGTTGTGAAAAAAAATAGAAGAGAATAGATTAATAGATTTTTTTAAAAAAAAATTAAAAACTTAAATACTGACTGAATAATATGACAGGTGAAATGACCTTGCTCTTTATATTGCAAATGGTAGAGAGCTGATGCTATCTATAGTTCTTTAGATTAGCCATGATCTGATTCAATGAGATGGTTTTCCTTTTAAGTTTTCTCTTTATCAACATAGTGAAACATCTCACAGAGGCAAGTTGTTCCACCTCTATGGAGACTCAATGGACTCTTTTCCCTTGCAATCAAAGGTTTCTGTGCAGCCTAATTATAAGCAGAATGCTTCTTTGCTTTGCAATGTATTTTGAAGGTGCACCTAATTTGAATTGTTGGCCACTTTCATATCCATTGGGGCAAATGAATGCCTGTATTGATTTGTTATTGATTTAGTATAGCCCTAAATTAGATGGAAGGAAGAGAAACAGATGTCCATCTTCATCCACATACCTGCTTTGAACATGTTCTCTTGCATTGGCCACAAGGAGCTGAAAAGAGGAAGCTAATGAATCCTAGAAAATAAATGCCCCATGATAACTTATCCCCCAAATGAAGGGGGCAAGATTCTTCACTCTACAGCAATAAAATATCAGTATGGATGCCACTCGGATTTGTTGACCCTAGTTGGTGAAAGCAAGCTCCAAAATTCTCTGTATTTATCACCAGCATATTACAGTTATAGTACAGTGAATGATTTTTGCTTATTAATAATCAAGAAAATGATAATTTAAAGAAGTTTCAGGTTAACATTTTACCCCCCCCCTTTGTTGTTGTTGTTGTTGTTGTTGTTGTCATTCTTGTGTCTTTTATTTTCTCCCTTTTTGCTTCAGGTTGAAATTCTTTCATGTCTTTGAACATGTAGCTTTTTGCTTTTCAACCAAAAACTGAATTTTTATGTAGGTTAGCAGGAGTGGGAATTCACTACTGTGGTTGAAAATACTTTGCAGGTTAAAAAACAAAAGCCACAATACAACACTACAAAAACACTTAAGAAATAGGAAAGGACAAAAGAGGGGAAGGGGTGGGAAGAAGGCATTTTTACCAGCTTAAGAACAAAGATGTTTGTGAAGTGATATTTACATCCAAATGAATATAGCAACATAAAATGTTTTAGCTGGAGCTATTTACCCATAAGGGCTATTGGCCCATAAGGTCTAATCCATGTGAAGCATTCCATTTCTTTAGAGAGGCATCTAATTGTTTCTTGAATGATCCTTGTGTTCTGTCTAAGCAATAGCATCTGATAGGCCATTCCATATGTTTATAACGTTCTAAGAAGAAAAAACAAGAGTTTACTAACATCTGCTTTGCATTATCTGCTTTTTAATTTCCATTTAGGTCTCTTGAAATTCATGTTAAATGAGAAACGATATACTGTCACCCAAACCCAAGTCCCAGTTAGATTTAAAAAGCTGAATTCAATTCAATTAAGCCCCATAAACATTTGTGGCATTATTATAACTTAATTCCAAACACTTCAATTTAACTACTTTTTCACAAAGAATGTTTGACAACTTGTAATTTTAAAATACTACAGCCTGTTTCCTATATTGTAAATATCCCTTAGTCCGTAATTTTACTGATTTTTGGAAGAACTAGACATAATTTTTTCCTATTACAAGCACTATATTATTAGTAATGAAAAGACATGCACACACCAGATTTAGTTATTCATTTTGAGTTCTAAAATCTGTCCTTTTTCATTGAGTAGATTTTTAAAGACCCAGGAAGACTCTTAAACCTTAACTTTTATTTATTGTCCAAGTTCAGAACATAGAGCATAGGTTTGTGTGAGTGCATCAATTTTAAATTGACAAATATTTTATAATTTTCAGTTAAGAAAGATTTGGTCATTAATTTTTATCCATTATCTGACTCTTTCTGCACTCCTTACATAGGTTGATATATATTGTAGTTTATAAATACATGTCTGGTCATTACGTTATTCCAGTCCTTATTTTCAAGAATATTGTGAAAGTTCACAATGTGTAAATTGGCCATAAAACAAAACAAAACAAATCCTTATTTTAGAGAACTTTAACAGTATTGTCCAGAAATGACTGTAGTTAAAGTCAAAAATCTGACTTTGAAATTTGAAATTCCAAGATTCTGGGAGCTGAATATTTCAACATATTCATTGAAGAGTATCATTCTCAACATTTATTTAACTATATTCTAATTATGCCACCTTTGCTGCATACATTTTCAATACATATGAAAGTACAAACACTGCTCTCTCTTATACAGTATTTCATTTATGGCATCTGACAGATCAAATTAATATACATAAAGCAGAACAAAGTTGAACTATGTTAAATTGATCATATTCCCAATTAATACTGTAGTTGCTTGATTGCGTGATGATTATGTACCTTCAGGTTGATGTCAACTTTTAGTAACCACATAATACCTGTTTTTGTTAATTCAGGAATAAATTCCATTGAGTTTAGCAGAGATAACTTTCAAATTAATGAGCATAGGATTACAATCTTAGCTTGAAAATATTTATTTTTTAAATGGATTAATTCCATTCAGTATAATGGGAATTACTTCAGAATTAACCTGTAGAGGATTGCCATTGAAGGACAGCAATACTAAAATTTGTCATTAGTACCTGTTTACATTTTGGGAAATGATATTCGGGCAAAATATTCAAATTACTGGATAGCGAACTTGGTCTATTCTGAAAGATGGATTTATCCAATCTTCCAACAGAGACTTCTATTGATCTAGAAAATTCTAGGTTTTATATTCATAGGTTTTGGAGGTGGGAAGAAAAAAATTGCCTTCGGTTCCAATCACAGTGAGCTGAAGAGAAAAATCTACTTGAAAATCTGGTATTTTTTTAATATGCCTGTATCTTCATGTTAATATTTGAAAAGATGAAATGATGCTTTTATTCTAAACTTTAAAAATTACTAGTTAGAATATATTTCTCAAAAGTTATTTCATTATATTGCCTGCTTACTAGGCCATTTACCCCAATGAACTCTTGTTTATTAGAACATTTATTCAAATTGTCACCTGCTTTTTTAACTATTCACTTCAATGAACAAAAAAAAAAAAAAAAACCCAGAGAAATATCACATTTCCATGAAATACAATGAGAGAAAATGGTAGGCGCTCATAGAACTTTAAACCTTAAAGAGACCACAACTATTTATTAAATTATTGTATTTTATCAAATATCATAAACAACGTAGAGTCTATTTGAATTTAAGCAGCATGTAGAATTCAAAAATGAATAAACCATAATTAAGACAATCTGTTTATGTTAAATGCATATTCACAGCTCATCAATGACTTCTCTGAGGCTTTAAATTCTCAGAGAGGGAGGACTCAGGGTGCAAAAGAAATTTCTTTGGGAACCAAATGAGTAATTGGGAATTGTAAGTTTACATTTTGCATTCTATTTGTACAATTTACCTTTTACTTATTCAATTCTGAATAAATATTCACAGAAGCACTGAAGTGCATTACAGCAACAAATAGAATAATAACTCTATAAAGCACTGCACTATTAAAACCAGGCAACGCAGTAATTGGAACAAGGCTGGTAGCCCTTTTTAAGATTAACACATTATATGGCATCAGTTTTTGTCAGCTGAAGTTGGTGAAAATAAATTATAGCAGCCAATTTCATGATTATACAAGGCCATGGAAGTGCAATGGTTAGAATGCAGTATTGCAGGCTGACTCTGCCGACAGCCTGGAGTTTGATCCTGACTAGCTCAAAGTTAATTCAGCTTTCCATCCAGAGGTCAGTAAAGATCAGTAAAATGAGGACCCAGATTGTTGGGGTAAATATGCTGACTCTGTAAACTGTTTCAAGCACTGTGAAGTGTACAAGTCTAAGTACTATTGCTACTAGCTCAAAAGGAACATCCATAATCTGGGAATCATCCTGAAAAAGCTCCTGTCTATTATCTCAACAAACAGAATTATAGTAATTAAGGTTGTCTGTTAAATAAACAAATGTTTGACAATAAATTCCAGTGGTTCCAGATTGGATCCTAAGTGTTTTCTGGCCCAGTGCAATCTACTGAATTGCTGAAAGTTATTCTGTTCCTTGGAGATACATGGTCCTGATATTAATTAGTGAATGAGTACCAAGCTGTAGCAATTCTTTTTAGGCACTTCATTAATGCTGTGATCCTACCATAAACTCAGATGTGCTCATTCTCTCTACTTCTGAATCCAAGCATTGAGAATTAAAATCTAGGGAACACGGGGTTGTACTTGTCATTACCACCATGAACACTATTGTGTTTTCATTCTTTCATATAAAACAGCTGCTTCCCTTCAAATGCCAAATATCAAGTCTAATTCTAATTTCCTAAAAGTTCTCTTTTCTTAAAAAAGACACATTTGTTTAAATGCTTCATTCTGCCAGTGCATTAGACTTTATTTAGAATGTCTTTGGATGTTGCTTTTTGCAGCTTGCTTGACAGACAAAGCTTCTGGATCTGAAAAGCTCCCATGGGGAGAGTTTTTTTATAGCATCTTCTCTTGATGTTTAATTGAAGCCAGAGAAGCTATGGATTGCGCAAGGAATAACAATGCATATGGAGATGCAGATACACACACAAACACACACACACACACACACAGAGAGAGAGAGAGAGAGAGAGAGAGAGAGGGAGAGGGAGAGAGAGAGAGACTGATTGGTTCCTCGGTGGTAAAATGGAAAAGACAAAAACCCAGGAGAATTTTCTTGAAAGTTTAGCTGCAGCTCCAAAGCAGGTCTCTTTCATCAATTTGAAGGCATTCACTTCCTCCAAATTTACAAAGGCTTTATTTTCAACAGCCTGTCTGGAGAAAGTTGAATTCTTCAAATTTCTCACTCTATTTTCTGAGAGGAGGCAAGGATATCTTTCCCTGCTTTTTCAATTTTCTCCTATTGCATGTCTGAGTCAGCTAATGCTAATACCTTGCTTCGGCATCAGAAATTAAATGCCTAAGAAGCTGCATCCATACAGCTTGCATACACAATCAGCTGTAATGATGTCCCAAACTACCGTTGACACATAACTTGTCATTCTGTGATTTGAGGCAGACAAAGGAGATTGCAACATGTGTTAATATTTGATGCATTTCCCTCTGAACTTTCAAGTGCAAAAGTTGTAGGATTACATGCAAATGAGATCTTCTCACTATTGGTAGCTCTTCGGTTCTTGCCAACCCATCACTGACAGCAAGGACATTTTGGAGGGTGATGAAGGACAGAAGGACTCTTGCTTATAATGAGAAAAGAGATGAAGTTTGGAGGCAGAACACTTTACAATGCCTTAGTAAGGCCACACTTGGAACACTGTATCCAGTTTTGGTCACCACGATGTAAAGAAGATGCTGAGACTCTAGGAAGAGTACAGAGAAGAGCAACAAAGATGATTAGGGGACTGGAGGTTAAAACATATAAGGAACGGTTGTTGGAATTGGGTATGTCTAGTTTAATGAAGAAAAGGACAAGGGGGGACATGATAGCAGTGTTCCAATATCTCAGGGGTTGCCACAAAGAAGAGGGAGTCAAGCTATTTTCCAAAGCGCCTGAAGGCAGGACAAGAAGCAATGGGTGGAAACTAACCAAATAGAGAAGCAACCTAGAACTAAGGAGAAACTTCCTGACAGTTAGAACAATTAACCAGTGGAACAACCTGCCTCCAGAAGCGGTGAATGCTCCAACACTGGAAGTTTTTAAGAAGAAACTGGACAGCCATTTGTCCGAAATGGTATAGAGTTTCCTGCCTGAGCAGGGGGTTGGTCTAGATGACCTCCAAGGTCCCTTCCAACTTTATCATCATCATCATCATCATCATCATCATCATTATTATTATTATTGTTATTGTTATTATTATATAATTAAACCCGGAAACAAAATCTTTGGATATATGTATCTTTTTTTCCACAGCACAAAGTTTGCCTGAGTAATTTTGAAACAATATATAGATTGACCTGCTGGTAGAAATGGACATCATGACTACAGCAAGACATCTTTGAGTTAATACAAGTAATTTCCAACTCATATAAAAGGCAATCCTTAAGAAGAAAGAGAGGAAGGAATCATTAAAAACACTTTTCTTATATGCAGAATATATTCAATCCTCAAAATAATATTATCATGGTTGGCATTAGGTTTAAATATTCATTTAGTATTGGACCCCTTCAGATGTCTTTAGGTTTTGTTTGATTGCTTGTTGTTTGTTTTGTAAAGACAGGAAACAAGTTGATTTTCACTTTAACCGACAGTCTTGGAGTGATTTTTTACTGTCTA